TATATATATATATATACACACACACACACACACACACACAAATGTAATGTAGAGAGGTAGAGAGCACTGAGACTGTTTTAGTGCATTTAGTGTTTTACTTATGTTAAAAACACAACTTAATTGCATTATTCTTTTTCACACAAAATGTAGGGAGGGATTGGAATCTCTGTCAGATTATTACTACTGTTTGCATCCCCGCTAAGGAGATTGACTGCTCTGTTTGTCCTGGTGACCAGTTTCACTAGGGATAAAAGTGAGGGAAAATGTAAAAGTTGTCACCAGAACAGGAGTAGAGGTGAAACCCTTCAATGGGGACACCTTTTCCAGTGACAATTGTCTGAGAGGGTATTTCCTATCCGTTTCTGTTGTGTCTATAGGACAGAAGATGAAAGGACATCTCCCCAAATGGTCACAAATGGCAAAAAACTGCCAGGGATTTTACCAAATCCTATTCAATCTAAAAAAAAAAGTTATGGCTTTACATATACTTTAATACTGCGCTTAGAAGAGTAATGATTTGCAGTATTAGTAACAGTCAGAATTCACATTGTGACTGTGTGGAGTAACTGGAGTAAACATATAGGGCTGATTTAGGAAAACTAGAGCAAATGTGAACCTGTTACCGGCCCAAGCGCACAGTTTAATTTGAAAACCTCTTTGGCTGTTATGGTCATGATTAGTTATTAATAGGGTTTAGTTGGCAGAAGATCACCTATACAGTAACGATGATCTGACAAAAAGGTCTACATAGCTACTTGAAAATTATCTTCTCTGTTCTGAGGCCAATCAGTCAACAATATTCTGCCGTGTCAAGCTAATTTACCAGTATCAATGCTATTGTGTGTTACCTATTTCATGAAAGTTACTTATACCTCTTTCATATAAGACAACTTACATTTTATGGTCATCAGATACACTATGATTACAGACAGCTGTATATGTGTCGAGATGTTCTTTATTAGACTCTAGAAAGCAAAAGCAAAGCCATTTTAGTTGACGTGCTTGCACTGAGAATGACATTGTTCTTGTTCCACCTCCAGAAGACAGACAGCAGAAGAGAGGGAGGCGGAGAGACAACAAGCAAACCGGATATTAATGCAACTTCAACAAGAAGCCTTTCAGAAGTCTATAAACCAACCGCTCCAGCCAGACCCCATCTGTGTTCACAACTCTTCCCTCTTTGCCCTGCAGAACCTCCAGCCTTGGTCAGATGACACTTCCAAAATTACCAGCGTCACCTCTGTGGCCTCTTCCTGTGACTGACCACGGCTTGCCAGTAGAAATTTCAGGGGGGCAACGGACTGGCCGAAACGTATTATTGGACTTTTATTTCAGAGATTCATATGAAACCACAAGACACAGCTTGTCAAAGCAATTCCAACTCCCAGCCTTCAAAGTCTCCACCCAGTCATAAAAAGGTTCACTCACCAGTTGGATCCAGACTGTATTGTGCTGTACGATGGTGACTTATCTCCCGAAAGTAATCCTCATTCATGGTTGCCATGCCTAACACCGAGTTAAGAGGTGATGATAACTCAAAAAGGAGTCTTGTTTCCAGACACCCGGAGGAAAATCACATATATATTTTATAAAAGTGAACAGGTTATTGGTAAAATATCCATGTCTATCTGCTGAGCAGGCACCCTTTACCCACTCTTATGTTGGATGAACAATAGGCTCTTAGTAAGAAGAGCCATTCCAGATGACTTATCTTTACCCCAACCGTGGTGGCTGAGGCTGTCTGCTAGAACCTGAAGATATTAATAAAAATTCCCAATTTTTACCTAATATTGGCAAAACTGGACAATGATAATCGAATGTTTATGTGTAAAGTTGTCCTTTGTAGCTTAAACCTGCCACCGCCAAAGATTCAATGGGCTATTTTTAAAATCAACCTGTCTATCTGTGCTGCTGCATGACCAATAGATTGAGACCTGCAGCTTACTAATTCTAGTCTTAAAGTGATTACTTGCTATGGGGTAATACATAAAGTCTATAACGACACATTAATAAATAAGGCCCATTTGTTAAACTATAAGGATCATTATTTTCCCTAACAACAGTTATTTTCAGTAATGAGAGCTGAAAGTAACAGTCATGTGGATGAAAATAATGATGGCATGGTAAATAACATATGTGATATAGTTTAGTGCATTGAGCCTACACTTTGCTAATCAGAAATGTGCTGTCTGGCTAAAAATAACCTCTTGCGGTCATGTTTCGATATTACTGCATGTGGAAAAGCCATCCTGTGGGCTCCTTTACAGATAGATAGTCTCTTGTAAGAAAACAGTTGAAGTACTATGGAGTTTACTTGGAGCTCAACACACCTGAAGAGAACATGCAGTCTTAATGGAAAATATATGCAGCAGGGTCTATTATAGCTGTATTCACAATAGAGAATGAGGCTGATTTACTTAAGGATGTTCACTCAAAAAAGAGAGTGACAATTCAGTTATCCAAAATATTATTTATGAAATAAATAGACATAGGAATTTGCTTTTCACATGATTGGATAATTGAAGTGAATCTTTTTTAAAGTAAACATTATTAACCTCTTTGGTAAAAAAAAAAGCTTAATTCTATAATACACAGGAAATATTTCTAAAGACATACCGAATGTATGATTCAAATGAGCTAGTGGTGTGCCTGTATCTAAACTCATCAAAAGTTGGCCAAACACACAACTCCAAATTCAAGCCAAGGGTAACCATGTCAACATCTTCGACTGTAAAGTTGAAGGAGGCAGGTGGAAAGTTGTTGGCTTAACAGTGACTACATCCATCAGGATGTAGTCACTGCTTGGGCATTGAGACAGCCATTGGTGTCGGCTGTACAGTAGATGGCACTGGCGATTCCTCCATTCACAATGTTTAAAGTGTCTGGAGGAATCAATTTTATGTCTCATGTTCTATCTGTGTGAGAGCCATAGACTTGGTAAAAGGGACTTCCTGACTTGCTTTCGAGATTGTGTCCCAATCTTTAAAAGATTTGGTAGTAGAAAGGGCCAAACCTGACAGATCTGAATGTTTAGCAGATAAGAAGAGAGTAATAGTATATTTTGCTTGAAGGCAGCCTACACACAAAGAAAAGTCTACTGTGTGATCAGACTTCCATGTCACTCAGTCAACTTCCAAGCAAATAAATTAAATTAGCAAGGGAGCCATCAGCACATCGTTCACAGGCATGCAGTCACCAACACTATATAAGACAGTACTGTCCAGGCGTGTAAAAACATTTCTACTAAAGATCTTCACATAAACAGTATTAAACAGCTAAAACAAAAAAAAACACGGCACAAAATAATGTTTTCTGCTACTGGAAATGCCATCACATACACAGTACACGTGTGCATGTCATGGCATGTTTCTTGTGTACGCAAAGACATTCAAAAATATATTTTGTCCAGTGGAAATTTTTCTATATCGTATACTTGACGTCAGACTGCCACGTAAAGTGAGTGGGTGGCCTTAGTTTGGCTGGTAACTGGCCTGTGTCTTGGAAGTGTAAGGGATTTATATACTCCATAGTGCAAAGCCATTAAGTGAACTACAACAACCAACCAGGGATGATTTTTTTAATTGGTCTGACCAAACAAATCTACATAAAGCTGCCCCCCGATTAGTCAGTATGACTTACTGTCCATCACTGCATTTTGTACTTTGCTATGATCCTTTTTTGGCATTTGCTCTCTTGTTGTCATCAAGGCGCTAATACAAAGAAAGACTATTTCTCCCTTATTACATACATATAGTCTAAATTAATATTGTTACCTTTTTAAAAGTTGAACTCCAGTCAGACATTAAAAATCCCAGTGGGTGCAGTTATGTATTTATGAAAAAAGCATTACATGTGATTTAAATATAACTAATATAAATACAGATATTTATGTTGATTTGAGCCTCTTGTATTCGCTTGTACATAAGCACTCTGCAGGGACAGAACTATGGACCAATCAGATGTCCTACAATTATTTCCTATATATCCTAGCATTAGCCTGCATTGTCCTGTGCAGATCAGCACAGGTCAATGGATATGGAGTGAACAAGCCTTTAATATCCAATCAGGGGCTGAGGGTGTGGAGGTGACCTAACTTAACTGCAACAGAGGTGTTCTGCTTGGAAGGGCTGTGTAAATCTCAGGACTGGATGGGCAAAAATAGAAATAATTCGATAGGTAAAACAGCTCCCTTATATGTATTTCATCTGTGTATTTAGCGGTTTGTCTGGAGTTCAGCTTTCTGAGATACTGCGGCTGATTTACTGTTACTTTAAGTTTAAGAATGTTAATTAAATGAATTGTACCTAAGATTCTCAAATCATACACTGCCTAAATAAATAAACAGGAGTAAAGGTTCTCAACTGCTTCACTAAATCAGCATCCCTACTGGTTTGCTCATTCATGGCAACGTGCCATTGTCTGCTGATAGTCCAATTCCCTCCAATAGGGGAGACTTACCTAAGGGGAGACTTACCTATGCAAACCTACCTCTTTACCCCACCAACGCAGCTGGAATCAGATTTTACCAGGGTGGATAACATCACACCCCTCTTTCCCCCATGGCATGTTATCTCCTCACTGTGACAGTGCTTGGGCCTAAGCAGACAATTGTAAGCCCGAGCATTATCACAATGGGAAGGTCACATGTGGGGAAGTGGTATAGGAGCACGGTTGGCAAAGTGACAGTGTTTCTTTAAATCCCTTGTTCCGCACATCTCCTTTTGTAGCTAAGTACCAATCAGATTTTGCTTTTCAATGACAAAATATATATTTTAAAATGAAGGATTTGCAAATTTGCAGCAATCCTCCCCATAAGCAAGTATTCACTCTATGCACATTGTATAAACACAATCTTTATTTCTAACTTAACATGAAAAAAGTATTTTCATTACAAAACTACATTCAGTAGTTTATTTTCAGTTTTTATGAAAATGTATGAAGACATAGGGCTCCAACAGGAACAAAAGAATCTTTGACATCCAAGCACTTCAATATCATTTTGTATCAAATAGGTTATTTAACAATACTGCCAATAAGTTGTGACTTTCAGTATTCACCTATTATGGCATTCTTAAAGCAGGCGGATGTAAACGATGAACAAGGCACTTAGCAAGTGCTTGTATATATTTATTCATGTGGCAAAGAGGACTAGTCTTCACCGTTCACATGGACTGATCACTGCAGAGCATATTGCTTTGACAAACACACTTATGAAGTTGGGCATCGTGGACTGTGTGCAGTATTTAGGCCCTTCCTGGCAGAGAAAGGGTTAACGCACAGGGTTTTCTAATTTACCGGGGAGCTGCATTGAAAGCAACCACATCCCGTATGTGCGTTCTCTTCTTTTTATTTATGTGTATCTTTATTTGACACTATCACATCGGCAGACTATTTATGTGTTATGTACATTCAATTTTCATGGCAATTTAAAAAAAAAAAAAGAAATGAGATTTAATAACTGCATCAACAAAGTATTGTCGACATTATGTAAATAAAATGAACAATTAGTTTTTTTCAGTTCAGGTTTCTCGCTTTGTGTTTTGTTTGCATTGTTTCTTCAAACAACCGAGAGCTATTATCCTGTGACATTCATCAATGCTGTTTATTTAAATATATTCCTCGTTTGGCACAAAGGATTAAAATCTGACCTCTGTGCACCAAATGCCTTTGCAAACCCAGACATTACTTTTTTCACACAGTGGTGATACCATCACTGTTCTGCACATAGCCGGTGCAGAGAGCAGAGCTGTGGGAGGGACTCAGCAGACCCCACCCACTACAGGCTGCCTGCAGAAAACTATAGGGGGGCGGGTGCAAGACTAGTCACAAGGAGAGAAAGCAGCAGTGACTGATCTTTATTACAGGAAGCTTCTGCACAGAGGGACAAAAAATGAAAGAGTTGTTTCAAGCTGGATTACTGCACAGATTTTGGAGAAATGCACAAAGGACACCAAGTATAAAATATAAGACTACACATTGCTTTAGACAAGATTTTTCCCGGAGTTCATTTTAATTTTACATTAGTTTTATTCCCTGGCTGCTTCACTTGCCACTTAGATCTTTACTTTTTACAAAGCACACACCAATTTATAAATAGTAAACACTAAGGATGCCTCTTTCTTTACTGGGTTCATCATCCCTATGAAGCAGAGTAAGAAAGTGAATGGTTAACTTGTTCATTACAAGCAATGAATTGAAAGGTGAGTCTACCAAAAAAGCATATTTCAGTTTTTGTTTGAACGAACAAAGATATAACATTTATA